AGTTTTGTTTCAGATGGATGTTTTGACTGTAGGAGAGCAGAGAAGTAGAGCTCTGAAGTCTAATCAGATGTTGAATAGTAAACTATTACTACATTTGTTATTATTACTATTTTACTATGTTTCATTGATATTACTACTGATATTACTATTGATATTACTATTACCAGTTGACTGGCTCATAAATTATAGCGTGAAAAAGGGACAAGTTTTGCAAAACATAAAATAAAATAAAATAAAATCTTAATGTAACTCTTGCATGCAATGACCCGAATATTTTTGTGAGAGAAATCATTCTAGATTGTATTGTTTCTCAAAACTATGTTGATGTCACCTATAATTTGAGTGTAGGAGGGATAAGAACATATTACTTTGATATCTACTAGAATTATCCCCGTGCGTTGCATGAATTTTATTGCATGTATTGCATAAAATTGTGAAATTATGATCACACGTGAGTCGAGCGTATCGTCATAATATGATAAAGTTTGTTTCGGGTGTTGTGATGTAATAATTCTTGTCCGCGTTTTGTTTTGTAAATTACATTCATATTTTTTATATTTCATATTCAAGATAATGTAAATTTTTAGAGGTGAAATATTAGTGTAATTCATGTGTAGTAAAATTTTAGAAGTGACATATAGTGTTTTATACACCACCGGTTTAGTAATATTTTCTTGTTAGATTTTCCAGAAAAATACTACATTTGATACATACTTGATGGTTTTTCATTCATTAAAATAAATTTTATTATTTTTTTAAGAGAAATTTCACTACAGTGAACGCTGCTTAAAAATGTGTGAAATATCATTCTTAGGAATCAATAAAAAAAGCTAAAAATAATTAGTAATAGAAAAGATGGAGTTTTCAATATTAATTAAGTAGATAATCAAATATATATGGAGTGTAATAAAGATGGCTGAAACGCATAGCTGCAAAGTAAATTGAAATAACCAAGTTACAGAAAGTTTTAACACTTTAATGAAAGAAGGTCTCTGGCGTTGACACGTGTCAAAAAAAAAGACTCGGAACTTGACATGTGTCAAAGAAGGCTCTAAACTATCTAATTAAGCAACACGTGTCGATTGAAAACTCTCCTTAATATATAATATAATATAGATTAGATCAGTCCAACCATCATCAAGTGTTTTGATGTTGCAGGGCTCAAATCCTAAAAAGAGTTAGTTCGAAGAATTTTTTGATGCATTCTGGCACATTGAATTCCTTGTGAATTGCAGGATTTCTTTTGATATCAATGACTTGCTAGGACCATAGCCACCAGAGGTGCAGCAAAACTGATGATGAAGCATGCTGCTGAAATTATATTTCTAGGTCCTTTTGTTAGCAAGTACTTTGTACTCTTCACTCTGAAAATTATCAGTTTGACACAATCTAACAAAATATTGTTGAGAGAGAGAGAGAGTGAGTGAGAGAGAGAGATTTTATTTTATCAACAAACATAGAGAAGATCTATGATATTGTCTACTAAATCTGGGGGTTGGGTGGCAGCACATCTATTCAGTGACTAGTATGCAGGCTCAGGCCTAATATATTGTATTTTAGCAGGCTCCGGGATCTCTTGGATAGTGTTGACAGAAGGCTTAGAAATGAGGATAGTGTTAGAAAATTAATGGATACCTTTTTGCGCAAGTCATTCCATAAAGGTATTCTATTTTATTTGACGTACTAATATATAGGATCTTAAATAAGATTTATCCCAACTTGGTTGTTTGTTCTACATAATTGAATGCGAGTGGAGATCATCTGTATCACTTTTCCGTGCCAATTCCTGTAACACTAGATGTGTAGCCGACATGTGTCCTATAAATTTTCTCATTGACTTCTTCGTTAACACCCTCAAACGTTAACATTAAGTGGGTTAAAAAAAAATACTAATAACAAGTAATTAAGAGGGGAACAAAAATCAGATCTCCATCTTCCATCTCTGGTGATCTATTATTCTAATCTACTTTTTTGATAAGAGCCGGATCCAGTCCTTCAAATAAGCCTTGATGCCTTACCTCCGGTAGTTCAACCCAGCAAATGACGCTGACAAAGACCATGATATTGACCGGGCACCGCCGAAAAGTAGTGGAAGAGGAGAATAACTGACGAGAACTTGGGAACTTATTAATCAAAATTGGGAAATTCGGCATTTGTTGCAATTTGGATCAGCCCCCTTTCTTTTTATCCCGAGTTTTTATGATTCTTTTGAAAGAGTTATTTGTTGGGTAACTTTGGAGCAATATTTTTCCTTTTCCTTTTCCTTTTCTTTGTGAATGTCGTTGGGTCTTCACTTCCGTTTTTTCCCCAATTTGATTATTTTTTTTTGCAGGATTTTCCATTAAATCATAAATGTTATGAAAATGGTTACCTTTGGAAAAGTTCATTGGGTTCAAGTTGATTGGAATTCGTCCAATTAGCCACTTGCGATTTATACAGATCAATGTTTCTTTGAAACACCACATTTGTCCTTGAAACTCGTGAATATATACTACATTTTCTTTTTTATTAGGTCAGTATAAGAGATTAGCTGAGACTTTGTTAACCTTTTTTAATGTCCATCGAGTGAAATATTAATATACTACAACACTCTTTTTTCACCTCGCACCATCTTAATTTGTTCGTGAAATTTAAAAGTTCCAAGCATAGGAGAGGGTGCTTGTTTCTTGTTAATTAATTACACTAGTGAGCGCGATTGGTTGACAGTGAAAAGTAAACCTTCCTCTGTTAGAATTGACGCTGCATAACATAAAAATTCAAGAGTTGAGACAAAAACAACTACAGAAGTAATAAGATTGATCACTTTTGGCGGCACGAACGTTCCAACTTGGATTGGTGATCTACTGTTTTTAAGCTACATTCAGTTGCAGGGTTTGTTTTGCTATTTAGGAGAGTGTTTTGGTGAATTTCACAGTGTTAGATAAATAAGAAATGAATGTCGCAGTATGAGCCATATCGTATTGCAAATGTGTATATTATAAGTTGATAATTTGGGCCATGACATTGAATTAATTATTATTATTATTTTCTCTGTCCAAAAATGATTTGTCTAATTTAGATTTTTATGTTTAGTACAATTTAAACTATAAACAAAAATATAAAATGTGCAACGATTTCAGGACGCATGGAGTAAAACAATCAATCACTGCCATCGCCTATAACATGATATTGCGTAATTTATTAAAAAGTTTATTTTGTACTATTAGATCCGACGCTAATTTTTTTATTAAAAAAAATTTATATTCAAAAATCATTATCATCTATTAACGTGCATCATATAGTCAGATTTATGAACATCTCTACAGTCACACTCATTAATTGATTACTCCATCTGGTCCTCGTTACAAAGTATTTTGATTTGCCTTCACGTTTCATTTATCTTATTTTTTTAATTGAAAATAAAGTTTAAAAATATTTTATGTTTTATAATAATTAGAAAAACATAATTAATGTGAAGATAAATTTTTTAGGTTTTATTTTCAATTGAAATAATACAATAAATAAAAATTAAGAGAAATTATAATGTCTTAAAATAAGGACTGAAGAAAGTAATTTACATCTTTTTATTTTGGTTCCGTCATTATGTTTCACCAAAAAATAAAATCTCACCATCTAAATTCACAATGTGATCTATTTTTTTTTCTTAAGAATAAAAACTTTTTGGTCGATGAAGTTGATTGTCTTTTAGTTTTTCATGTTTATATTCGACAAGTAGTCATATATGTATCACAAATTACTTTTCAAATTTTGAAATGACTCCGAAGTCCAATATATATATATATATGTGTATATATATATATAATAAAAATGCTGCATTTGCATAATATTTTTTTTCAACACTTTACCAATCCTTAATATAAAGTATTTTGATTTATCTTCAGTTTTACCTAGTATAGATTTTTAATTGATAAAAAAATTTTAAAAATATAATTTCACATTCGATGTGTTTTCTTAATTGTTAGGAAATATTAGTAAGGTTTGTTGTCAATTAATAATGTATACTAAGTAAAACTTAGATGAATCAAAATGTCTTATATTAAGTACCCGAGGGAGTACTATATAAAAAAAGAATTAATAAGTGGGGAAGAAAGATTAGAATTGCAAAATTGTAAAAAGTATAGGACTTGATTCGTAGCATTTTAGAGCTTCAGAGGTCAATTCGACAAAATGCTTCTGTGAGAGACAGACACAGGTTATCAGCTTCCTTTCAAGATTTGAAACTCAGAAGACGTTTTCTCAATAAGTTAAGGAAGTGGAGGATTAACTATAAATTGTTGAAACTTCCGAATTGAAATCGGCCCGTCTTCTTCTTCCTTTCTTCGCCGGAAAAACCCCAAGCCACCGCCACCACCGCCGCCGACTGTTTGTTAGCTGCCGAGGTTCTGCATCTTTTTAAAACTAAAAGACGAGCCAAGCTTTTCTTTTCCGAGGATCTTCATTATTGGAGGGTGACTATTTCCCGTACGCACATACCAATTTAAACCTAAACTTTTTCTTTTTTTCCCATTTTCAGTGCCCGGGCACATAAACCAGATCCGCCTCTGACCAAATGTGTAAAATTTTAGAGTAGGCATGATTCTGATTGTCTGTGGCTATTATAATTTCCTACATGCTGAGGCTGATTGTGTGTTTTTCGTGCAGCTTATCAAGTCGGTGAAGGGCTTGAAAACTTTCTTCAAGAGCCAAATTACTCACTGAAGAGTTCTGCTTAGGGGTGTTACAACGTAATTAATGGATTCAGAGTTGATCAAAGTGGACTGAAATTGTTGTACATCTGAATTTTCTGCAGCTTTCTATGATGGTGCCTGTTTCCTGACGTTGTTTTTAAGCTATTGTTTGAGGTTTGTCTCTCTAACATTTGCATAATTTGGTCACATTTGGTTGTTTTATATCACCTTGCCCCGCTAAAACTTGAACATGTTAGGTGAATAATTTTTTTTTTTTTTTTTTGTTTGTTTGTTTGTTTTTTTTTTTTTTTTAATGTGGCAGAAACTTACAAGATGCCTCGTAAGGGAAATTATAAGATTGATTATGATGATGATGATGAGGATGATTATGGTGCCTATGATGAGTATGATTACTATGACGATAATGACGAGGACAATTACAAGACCAATCAAAATGGTAAACACTCTGTCGATGTTTTGTTTTTTGGATATTCTTTAGAACTTTGTGTTTTGTAAGTGTTAAATGAATGTGCCTCCTTGCATACCCAATTTCCAAGCCAAACGCTGGCTACTGGTTTGGTACTAAGTATAGGATAGATTATCTGAGGTATTAAGAAAGCATGTGAGAGTGCAGAAAGACAAGCAGATCATAGTGGATTTCTATACTAATATGTTTTCATCATACTGCCATATTTTCAGGATACCTTTGACTGGTTACCACTCTCTAATATTTGTTTGGCGCACAGAATATGTAGATAAACTAAGTTACATTTGCAGTGTGACATTACTAGTCCTCAATCCTTGTAAGTATGCGAAAATGGTCCCGTAAACCTGGAAAAATAGGTATACACAGGCCCTTTAGTGTTTGATTGATTTGAAATGGGTAACTCTATGGTTTAAATGTTTTTTTTTAAAGCCTTTTGTGATTAGATAAGAAAAGATCAATATTTTATCAGTCTCATTGGAAAGCTAGTTCAACATTTCCGGTGCAATGAACTAAGGAAAATTGGTTGTTTGTTGACATGAGACTGACAAAATGGCCTTAGTTTACTTGGTCGAAGATTGGGGGACCTAAAATGCCTCCTATCTAGTTTACTTGTTGCTACATATTATTTCAGATATTAGAGAATTCAACTCTTTGACTAATTAAATCATACATTGGTGCTACTTTTATTAGTTTCGTTTTTCAACTATGGACTTCCCTGAAAACAACATACTTATTGTTTTTTTTTTTTTTTTTGTGTGTGCAGTGGAGCATGTGACAAAAGACAAGCTAGAAGCAATTAAGACTGGAGTTTGGCGCTGTCCCATATGTACATTTGATAATGATGACTATATGTCCGCCTGCGACATCTGTGGGGTCCTTCGTAATCCCTTGGTGAAAGGTTCGAGCAAGAGCAACTCTTCCCCAGGTTGGCAACTCATTCTTTTACTTATTCCTTGTAGAACACAATTATTTGTGATTTTTTGGATCACTTCTGGTTTTTGTTGACGAGAATTTTATGAGCCAGTTGCTGCGAGACTTTCATTTAGAGCTATGAATATCTGCGTTGAGATTCTGAGATTTGTCTTTCTTGCTTTATAAAGCTCCAAATTTGTTTTTCAAACATGGAGATGGATCTGTGTCCTATCTATTTTTGGAATTATAAGTTGAGCAGTGTCAGATAGATGACATGTCTTAGGGTCAAGGAAATCAGCCTTTCTCTGCTTTCAGTTTATCTAAATTTAGCTTCTTCATAGAGGGGATCGTTTCCATGCAGTTGGGGGCATATGCAAAGATTCTGGAGCATCCATAATGGCCAAGTCTCTTTTTGCATCACCACCGCATCGCAGGCCCAAAAAGGCTGTATTCTTTGAAGAAAAGAATGATGCTTCTTTTTCTGGACAACCTGGCAAAGTGCATGGGGATTTTCATGTCTTTCTTAGGGCATTTAACTCCGAAAAGAATTACAAGATTAATATAGGTGTGGACATGTTCCAAAACCGGAAGTCAACTAATGGACATAGGCATTCGTTTCTGTTTTTGTTTTCCCTTTATGGAACACTTTTTTAAAGTTCGTGCATGGTTTCCACTTATAGCTCTCTACTTGGCCAAACTTGGAGTAATATTGCAGAATACCCTTTTTAAGGTTTTCGTCTAACTTAAAAACCATCTTTGATGGCAGCTCCCTTCAAATTTGATATCCCTTCTCCAGATGATGTAGTATCAAATGGAATACGGACCTCCAAACTGGGGTTTAAAGGTAATTGTAAAAAGATTTTCTGCTCTTTCTCAAATTCTGAGGCTTCTGTTATTTGCCATTCTGTCAGATGATATAATCATGGCTGTGCATGTTGTCTCAGTTCTGAAGTTTAAGATGAATTTGACTGAGGGAATATGTATGATATATTTAGTCCTTAATTGAAACGATGACAAGTCCAACTAGATTGACTGCCTGTAAACTTTGGAAGGATGCATCTCTCTTGTGGTCGTTTTCTTCGCCAGCAGTTTAATATCTATTCTTTTTTATCAGATGTTTTTACAAAAGAAGAAGACAATACCGTTGAAGTTGAAAGGGAGTTACCAATTGAAGGGCCTGACATTGTTACTGGATCAACTTCAAAGGATAGATCTACTGACACAAAGGGCCACAGTTTTCCTTCAGATAAGGAGGTTAAGACAGAAAGCATCTCTAGTGGTATGGGGAAAATGTCAGTTTCTTCAAAATCTGGGATTGCGGAGAATATCAGTGGGGTGAGAAACCTATCAATTACACCATTTAAACCCGAGAAATGGATGCTTCCTGATGAAGTGGAAGATAAAATGCAACAACTGAGTCTTGCAATTGTAAGTGTGTCCTCTTATCACTTGGTTATGTCCCTTCTTTTTGAGAGATTTGTATTTTCCATTCCTGTAACATACTTTATTTCAGATTCTCACTAAAGTTCCTTGTGACATACTGCATTGATAGGTTGGTCATGTTGATTCTGGAAAGTCCACACTCTCTGGGAGATTGCTACATCTTTTAGGGCGTATTTCACAAAAGCAGTTCCACAAAAATGAAAAAGATTCCAAGCAACAAGTAATATGTTCATCAGTGTCTCTTCATTTTTGAACTATGATTGGCTGATTGGCTCACTTAAGTATGTTCTCTTTGTTTTTTCTTTAAAATCAGGGAAAAGGGTCCTTTGCTTATGCATGGGCATTAGATGAAAGTGCTGAAGAAAGGGAACGAGGGATAACTATGACTGTGGGGGTTCAGTATTTTGATTCTAAAAAGTATCATATAGTTTTGCTTGACTCCCCTGGCCATAGAGATTTTGTGCCAAATATGATAACTGGGGCAACACAAGCTGATGCTGCAATTCTTGTAGTTGATGCTTCCATGGGTGCATTTGAAGCAGGAATGGATAAAAATGGGGGGCAAACAAGAGAGCATGCCCAACTAATTAGAAGCTTTGGAGCTGATCAGATTATTGTTGCGGTCAATAAAATGGATTCTGTAGAATACTCCAGGGAAAGATTTGAAATAATCAAGCAGAAACTGGGGACATTTCTTCATTCTTGTGGTTTCAAGGAGTCGTCGTTGCTCTGGATTCCAGTGAGTGCCATGGAAAATCAAAATTTGGTTAATGGCCCTTCTGATGTACGACTGTCCTGGTTAGTGTGCTTGTATCTGCTTCAACTTTTTCTGCAATGTTTTGCAAATTTTCTTATAATCAAGGGAGAGCATTATAGGATGTGGCTTTACTTTTCCTTGGAGAGCAATATAGGGGCGGGGTTGGAGGGGAAATGGAGGGCCTTGTTTGCTGGATGCAATTGATTCATGTCTGTAGTGGTTTGGAGTTAACTTTATTGTACTTGCAGGTTTCAGGGGCCTTGTTTGCTGGATGCAATTGATTCCCTCCAACCTCCTAAAAGGGACTATGAAAAGCCTCTACTTTTGCCAATATGTGATGTTCTAAGATCGCAGCCACAAGGGCAGCTAGCTGTCGGTGGGAAAGTGGAGACTGGAGCTCTTCGTTCTGGATCAAAGGTACACACGGTGTTGGTTTGCTTTTGCATATCGTTTTTAATTTAATTACAAGATTTGCCAGTCTATTTATAAAATTGTCTTGGAGTGTATTGGGTGGATCGAATTTTAATTTTCTCAATTATCGAATTTGTTAGTTGGCTAGACCTGAATTTGTGTGGCCTTTAAAAGAAAATGGTGTTGTGCTCTTTTCTGTTTTGCTGTTCATTTAGTTTCATCATTTTGGAAACCCGATTTCTCTTCTTTTATTTGGTTTGTGGGTACTAGATTCGTCCAGAGATTTCTAAAGCATTTCCTGAGCATGTAAGGAGAGTATATGTTTCTGAGGGATGGGAGAATATGATAATGTAACCCATTTTCCGAGTCTCTTTTCTATCAAGAATGGTAATTTGTAATTCCACTTGAAAGCTTATGGATGGTGATGGCTGCAGTTCTAATGTATTAGTGCTTCCCCAGGTTCTGGTGATGCCGTCTAGAGTAGTGGCGACAGTGCGGTCATTGGAAAGGGACTCCCATGCCTGTAATGTTGCAAGAGCTGGAGATAATGTGAATGTGAGCTTACTAGGTGTTGATGCTAACCAAGTATCAGCTGGAGGCGTGTTGTGTCACCCTGATTTCCCAGTTGCTGTTTCTAAGCATTTTGAATTGAAAATTCGTGTCTTGGAGATCACAATGCCAATTTTAATTGGTTCCCAGGTTACCTGCTTTCCATCTAGCTTTCACAATTATTAATTCAACTTTGGTCGATTCTGTTACGTGCCATTCGTGTTAATTATCGCTGTATGTAACATTTGTTCAATGTACAGATGGAATTGCACGTACATCACGCGAAGGAGGCTGCAAGAGTGGTTAAGATACTGTCTTTGCTGGATCCAAAGACTGGACAAGTTTCAAAGAGGACTCCAAGGTGTCTGCTTGCGAACCAGAATGCGGCTATTGAGGTTGGTTGCTATGCAAACCTTCCTCTATATTTTTTTTTTCTTTTGTATGTAGAAGAAAACAGCTCCCATTTTCCCTGTGGGTTTAGTGCGCTTAATTTTCTTTTCTTGTTGGACGGTGAAGCAGCAATAGGGCTTAATCCTGTGAATTTGCCATGTTGTAGGTGGTTCTGGAGGAAGAAGTTTGCGTTGAAGAATACACAAAATGTAGAGCTTTAGGAAGGGTATCACTTAGAGCATCGGGAAGAACCATTGCTGTAGGTGTTGTTACCAAAATTTTTGTCGGCAGTGAGGCATAGGTTATATCGGAGTAAACAAGGAAGTAAAAATGGTAACCAGTACAAGTGGCTATATAGCTATGAGAATCTTTTAAGTTTTAACATAAGAACCTATGGCTGCAGTGCAAATTTGACATTCTTCATTTGTAAATTGTAACTGTGTTTCTAATTTGAGAGTTACTGATAGATAAGTGTCTTGGCGATGGTTAAGTGATTGTTTGTTTGTTCACTCATTTTACATTTTAACTCATTTTATCTCTTAAACACAAAACTCAATGGAAAAAAAAACATCATCCAAACAAATTTCTGATTTATATTTTAAAATCCAATTTGAAACAGTTTTTGTTAGTGTAGTGACTATTTTTTAGAACTAAAAATAGTTTGGTGACTAAATCCAAAACTTTGTACATTTATTTTAATTTGTTTCTAGTCAAAAAATACTTTCTACGATTGATGGTGGTTAGGAAAAAGTTGTTTTTAGAATATATATTGAAATATCAAATAAAAAATATCACTAAACAATCGAAAAGTGTCAATTTTGGTCACTGTAAAAAAAGAATTTCAAAAATTATTACTAAACAACGGAAATGTGTCGATTTTGTTCGCTGTAAAATATTAATTTTAGAAGTTATTCCGTGATTTTAGTGATCATTTTACAGTTGTTCAGTGATCATTTTTGAAATTCTTTTTTTACAGTGACTAAAATAGAATTTCCGTTGTTGAGTGATTGTTTTGAAAAAATTCAACTTTGTAGTGACTAAAATGAGATTTCCATTGTTGAGTGATTGTTTTTGGAAAAGTTCTTTTTTTGTAGTGACTATAATTGACAGTATTTAATTGTTTAGTGATGACTCTTACTTAATATTTCAAAATATAGTTCAAAATATTTTTTTCAAAACCAACATCCAAACAATTTTTTGCTCAAAATACCATCCAAACAACATTTTCATTTCTCATTTTATTTTCAACTTAAAATATTTTCCACTTTTAAGTGGTAAAATGAAATGTAAGATGACGTCCAAACAAACACTAAATGTTTTGTACTACTTATATTCCCTTTCTTTCCTCTTAGATCTCTCTACCTTATGAAACCGATGTGAACATTAAAACACAAATTCGACTTGGAAATTACTGTCTTTGTTTAAGGTAACATTGAAAGCAAGAGCTGTTTACTTTGCTGGACACATAAAAACGCGACACCAAATTAGTTTATCTTTGAAAACATCTAATAATCACTGGGCGAAGTAATTGACACGTTGATGCAATAAATTAAATCCTTCCGGCAAACAAACATAGAAAAAAGACCCAATTGTTACTTTAGTCGTGTCTGCATTTCTGTAATATTGAAACGTCAAAGTGTATATTGTAAATTTATAATACACTAATGTTTCTTTCCGTACATGGTGTGTTAGACGGTGATGGACACTATTATATTCATTATTCAGTTTGGTGAGCAGCCAAATAAACGTGAATCCTTTGATTTGGATGAATGAAGTCACGCAGATTGTTATGGAATGAATGCTTCATATGTAATTTGTTTTTCTCCAAAGTTTGTATTCTCATTAAATTGAAACAACACATACCAAATACTTTTTTTTATTATTTTTTTATTTTAAAACTAAGTACTCATCGTCGTTTATGTGGTACTTTCTGGATAAACTTCTTCCCATCATGTTCACCAAGAATTAAAGTTAGGCTTGATCTTGTTACATCTCCATCATTAGATAGTGTCCATTGTGTAAATTTCAATCAATTTGCAGCTGTTTTTTTCTAATCCATTAGCCGCACCTCTTTTTTTTTTTTTTTTTTTCTGATTCTCTAAACGCCATTTATCACTTTGAAAAACCGGGGGAAATAAATCAACAGAAAAGAAAATGAAAAAGAAACAGACAATCGAATATAGATGTTCCCAGAAAGTATCGGTCATCATCCTCTTTGTCTTTTTTTTTTTTGTTTTAATAAATACATGTATATTAATTAAGAAGAGGTACCTAAACTATTACACCGCATGCTATGAAATGCTAGATTATGTAATTCTATGACATCTTGCCTATTCACTTTAATCAGTGAACAAAACTGAAATGAGGAAATAGTAGTAATTAACAAACAAATCACCTCTTGAGCCTCAATAAGAATAAAAGCAGACCGTAAATATCTAGTTAAAGCTTCACAGTCCGTGTAAACATGGAGTCGAGTGATTCCCAAATACAAGGCCTCTTTCAAGGCCAAAAGACAAGTCGTTGCTTCGGATTGGAAAGGAGAAAGTACATTAATATCCACCGCTTTGATTTGCATCACCATACCGTGATGTGATAGTATCTTCCAAGCACCAGTCCCGTTACGTGATTGATGGCTAAAAGACCCATCAAATATAACTAAGGAATTTGATGGACCCTAGGTGGTTGAGCCAGTTGCATATTGGTGGAGGGCCTTCTATCTCCGAGTCTCCTAATGTTTTGTTTACGAAGAGTGACTTCATTTTAGATAAGTCTCCAAGAAACTGTCGAATCATTAGATTAGTTTCTCCAATTCTTGTCATTCCTCTTCAACCAAATCCTCCAAGTGATGATAAAAAACAAATCAACATCCCCTTCTGTGGGATGATACTGAGTCCAACGGATGAACCATTGATGCAAGGAGTCATATGTAGAGTTGAATATAGAGCCAAACAAAGGAAAAACCAAGGTCCAAATGGCTTGAGATGTTTCGCACTTAAAGAATAAGTGTAAGCTATCTTCTTCTTGTCTACCACATCTGGGGCATAGTGAGTCCACTTGAACTCCCCTTTTGCATAGTTCTGATAGTGTAAACAGAGAATTGAATAATGCTCTCCAAAAAAAGAATTTGTGCTTAGATTCATTTATAGAGTTCCAAAGTCGCTTCTAAGCTAATGTATCTGCATTTTGGCTTGCTGGACTTGATACAGGTTGTGGAAGGAGAGCATTAATGGCCAATTGATAACCTGACTTGACAGTATAGTAACCATGCTCTGTATGAATCCATTGAAGCTTACCTTTGTGAGTCAGTCTTGCCGGTCTATAAAAATCCCTGTAATATAAGGGAGAACATGATCTGGAAAGATGGTTCTGAGAGAGTTAATTTTTCATTGGTCATTAGGTTCGATGAAGTTGTTTACTCTCAAACTCGAGTGGAGTAGCCAAAATAGACTCATTGCTAATGGGATTGGCATGACTTGGAATCCAGTTTGCAGCAATGTGAATGTCCTTCCTTGAAACAACCTTCCATTTTGTGTGTTGATGAAATAACTCTGCACCTTATATGATACTTTTAAATCCCCAAGAGGAATTGTTCGGAGAACGTGGAGGAGTAATGATACCATTAGAATAGTATTTAGTACGGATAACTCGGGACATCAATAAAGTTGGCATGGACAAAATCCATTAAAGGGCCTGGAAGAAAATTACAAAGTCACAGTTTTGCGGTGAATTAGGGTTAAAAGCTCTAAAGGAATTTAATCAAGCATTACTGACAAAATTTTTGGACAAAATTAACCAATTTTCATTTTATACACATGGCAAAAAAAATAAAAAAATAAAAATCCATGCCGTTTTTCTTTGGGAAAATGGTATGCTCAACGATCCAAAATTACAGGAATTTGCACAGTAATTGTCAGAAATTATAATTGTATTTCGAATCATTCAATCACTATACTATACGTTTTTTTTTTTTTTTTGTTTCCTATCAACTGAATCCGTTCATTTCATTAAGTATCAAACTGAGTTACACATTAATTAGTCCTACTTTAATTTGGCAGAAACTAATAATAATTCTAATAATATCCTTTGATTTGTCGGACAATAATTCAACTAACATGACTATTATTTTAAAACGAAAATTATGACGAGATAAATAAATTTATTACGCCAAGTTGTCATAAAAACTCGTGATTGTATCAATAAACAACCCTTATCATCTCTAAAATTCTGGAATTTTAGTTCGGATCACTAAATAAACAAAAAATTTTCCAATTCGGCTGCTGTCGTATTTCCACAATTTTCCGCGACCACATATATTCCATACGTCAATTTTCCCCCCCTCCTCAAAAACATAAGGGACATAAAAACCAGAGATGAGATCAACTCCTTCACTGCTTCAGTCCACCCAACCCGCCTCTAACACGTGGAACCATGCCGATACGTCTCTCTCACGTGCCCAAAGCACGTGCCACCTCGACAGAAACATAGGTTCAACTCGAACCCACCCATCCCACGTGTCACATTCTCAGCTTATGTGGCACCAATTATAAAGTATTAAACCGCCTCTTAAAATACAAAAAACCCGCAAAATGGAAAATATAATTATTATAGAAGTAGTAATAACTAACTGCGGGAAATTAAAAGAGTAAAAATCAGGTGGTGCTCCTGCCCACGGGATTTCGGGTGCTCGTTCTCAGTTTTTCCTCCTCATCTTCTTCACCGTTGAATAAAAAAAAATTCAAAGCCAACTGCCTGCAAAGTCGTTATTCAATTCACACACACACACACACACACACACATACGCATAAACCTGGAGAGATTCATGCCGGAACTGAGAAATTTCTAGAGGGGGAAAAAAGACGACAGAATGTAAAATGCGTTCCTAATTCGGTTGTAATAATTCATCGACAATTCAATTCATATTCCCCAATTTTTACGATTCTGTATTCCTCTCGTTTGTAATTGTTTTACGCGAATTGAATATATTGAGAGTTTTGGAGGAAGGAGAGGATTTCTGCAAGTAATTAGTGTGAGAGAAATTGAGGTGGAGACGAACTATCTGGTTTTGGTGGAATAGCGGTGGGAGTAAATTAGGGTGTAGAAATGGCGGCGCAAGGTGGAGAGGGTGGAGTTGCGGTGTTGTGCGGCGGAGCGGTGGGCAATGCGTTAGATTCAAGGTCGGCAGCTGGAGGAAGTGCCGAGGATGATTCTGAGCAGAATTCTCCAATTTTGTTTTTCCTGTTTTTTCATAAGGCGATTAGGTCGGAGCTTGATGTCCTTCATCGCTCCGCTTTGGCATACGCGACTGGGAAAGAGGCGGATATTCAGTGGCTGGTGGAACAGTACCGTTTCTTGAGATTAATTTATAAGCATCATTCTGACGCTGAAGATGAGGTAAATCTTTTCATTTTGGAGAGGAAATTAGAAATTGTTTGCTATTTCATTACTTTTGGTTTCGTTTTAGCTTTGTTATTGATCATATGGAATGCAATTTCTTCAGCACAATGATGAAGCTTTTAATCTATCTATTTTTCGAGCTGGTTCCTTTTCTTTTTGTGCCAAGCTGTTCTTAAGTGAAGCTGTTCTTAGGGAGGTTAAGATTGAACTAAGAGGAGGGTAGATAAACATCTCTGTGCCAAGCTTAAGTGATCTCGTATCTAAAATAACTTTGCAAGGAAATTGTGGTTAAAGTGCAATTAACTTTAAGCATCTGGCAGTTCAAAATGGTATTTTGCTATAATCTTTTGGAGTCTATTTGAAAATGCTTCATCTAAAATCAATTAGCCTGTGACCTATTATCATTGGCAAGACTTTAACGACCTAGAGTGTCTCCATAAATAATGATTTTTCAATCAAATAACACGCTCTTTATGGTTGAGAATAACATGGGGTTTGGAATGTTGTGTAACTCAGTATTTGAACTAGCATCTCTATGTCTCTGTTTTTTTAATGCTTGCAACCTGTACAATCTTGAAGAGCTTTCCTTCCCCAATACTGTTACAGACAACCTCAAATGATTTGGAGTTAAAATTCAATAAAGCAACATTATTCTTTTTTTTTAAATTTTTTTTTTTTTTACAGAAAATGGCTCCTTTTAATGATACTGGGCTTGAAATTGAGTCTTTACTCAGTTGACATCTGTTTTCTCTGCACTGATTAATTTGTTTGATTTTATCTGTTGAAAGCTTTCTGTACTACTTCTTTGAAGGAAAGATATCCTGACAAACTTACTACAGCACATCAAATTTGATGTAGAAGCTACAAACACTGTGCTGCTTAAACTGAGTTTTTGTCTCTTTGTTTTGCAGGACGTTATATTATCTGTGTACTTATAACTTCATAATTATTAAAAATATTTCGTCATTTGGACTCAATTATGCTTTTGATTTTCAACTTCCTTGCGTTTGATATGTTTCATGCTCTTATTTCTTCAAAATCATTTAAGATAACTTGATTTTTAACTCAACTGTATCTTTGATTATCAATTTCCTTGCTTGCTGTTGAGATAGCTGTGAAATAAATTTGATGCAATTTCTGGGATGGTTTTCATGCACGTAACGGGTAACTCTCAAAGTTGTACCTAAAGCGGGAAATTTGGTGAAATCTGGTGACTTTGTTTCTTGCACCAGCCCCTTTATTTAAGTTCATCTGGAGAAAAGTATACAGCCTCCTTTTATAGTACTGTCAATATTTCTACGAATGCTATTTTGAAAAGTTTCCACAAGCACAAAGTGGGAGATACTATATTTTGATTTCTATTCCGTGATTGAACTACTAGAGTCTAGAGTGTTAATCTATGAAGAGCTGTTTTGGTGTCTCTAATTTGATAAAATTCACATTCTAATCCAATAAAATTCAAGGTCCACAACTGATAACTTTTTATTTTTTTTTTTACATATGGGTTTATTTATCAGTTTGGAAGGAAAACTAGCAGTGATGTGTGAGATTGTATGCACAAATTTGATTGACTGACTTCTTCAAACGCTGAATTCTGATATTATTTAATTTCAGGTCATTTTTCCAGCTCTTGACATACGTGTGAAGAATGTTGCACAGACGTATTCGTTAGAGCACATCGGGGAAAGTGACCTTTTTGATCACTTGTTTGAGCTGCTAAATTCTAATGAGCAGAGGGATGAAAATTTTGCACGCAAGTTAGCATCTTGCACTGGGGCCCTCCAAACATCGATCAGCCAGCACCTGTCCAAGGAAGAGGAGCAGGTAAACTAACAGATACAACTATATCTGTCTTGATGACTGTCATCTTTGAATTTGATTTGTTTATCATCACCGTCCAAAAAAAAAAAAAAAAGGATTGTAATGTTTTCAGGTAAGTTTTGTGGATTTAGCCTGTAGCTATAAGTAATAATAATGTTTATATGTACTGGTACTTCATCACTTGATGCAGGAGGAATCTGTTGCCTTATTTGTCACTCATTGATTAACTTCTATGTGGGTGCATTTATGCTTCTCTTTCCACGTGCTGTTAATGTGCATTTTGCTGGCGAGTCTAACACATCATTACCGTTACTGTATGCCGCCATTTATTTTGCTTGCTCATGCTGGATGTTGGTTATGTTAGTAGCTGTACTTCAACCCATTCTTTTTCTAAATGGTTCTTAACTTGTTTGATTCTCTAGGCGTGCTTGTCCCGGGAGTATTTCATTTTCCTTATTGTCAGACCATTTACATGGCGAATCTAGTATTAAATTAGTCTGTTTATATAAGTAAAGCTTTGCCATTATGTGAGCATTGGGTTTTGGGCAACATGTTTATTGAAAAAACTACACTCAGGGAATGTGGAGGATGACTTGGTGTTTTAAATTTAGAGAAATTCTAGAATGTTGCTCTGATGTATTTGGTGCTAGACTGATGCCTACTTTTGTATGCAGGTCTTTCCTTTGCTAATAGAAAAGTTCTCAGTCGAAGAGCAGGCATCTCTAATATGGCAATTTCTCTGTAGCATTCCAGTGAATATGTTGAAAAAGTTCCTCCCCTGGCTATCATTTTCTATTTCACCTGATGAGTATCTGGAGATGAAGAAATGTTTGTCAAGAATTATTCCAAAGGAAAATCTTCTTCAGCAGGTGCTCTCTCTCTCTCTCTCTATATGTATACACACACACACACCTGTGGATGTTCTTTTTCCATTTTCTTCTCTTTCTTTATTTAAGGTAGAGCTTCTCCTCTGATTCTGTGGCTGATTTGTGCCTTTATTTGTTAAAGGTGATTTTCTCTTGGATAAAAAGTGGAGGACCAGCCAAAAATGCTGGAGGTCATAACCTTAGTTCGGAAGTCCAACATGATGTATATTGCAGTGCTGCCAAAGAACTTCATGCCGAGAAAAGAAAGTGTCCATGTGCACCTTCAAGGATTGGCAAGAGGAAGTTTGCACTGTCTCTAGATGATGTCTCTGATGTAGATAAAGACAACCCTATAGATGAAATATTGTACTGGCACAATGCGGTCAGACAAGAATTAGAAGACATTGCAGATGAAGCTAGGAAAATTGAGCAGTCTGGAGAGTTTTCTGATCTGACATCATTTTATGAAAGGCTACACCTTATTGCTGAGGTTTGCATATTCCACAGGTACTAAAGCTATTGCTAGTTTTTGTTAGGATTTGATCTCTATGAAACTTGGAGCCTTCATTGCTTTTTTCTCTTGTGAAGTTTGATTTCCACTACTTTTTAGCATTTCGTTTCCTGTGACTGTATTCTGAGTTTTCTTATGATGTAACCTTGTTGCTTTTTGGTCTGTTCTGAACCTGACCAGCATATTGTTGCAATGATTTGCAGTATGGCTGAGGACAAAGTAATATTTCCAGCAGTTGATGGAGGAGTCTCCTTTCTGGAAGAGCATGCTGAGGAAGAAAGTCAATTCAATGAGCTTCGGTGCTTAATTGAGTACATTCAGAAGTCAGGTGCCAACACGACTTCAGCTGCAGAATTTTTCGCTAAGCTATGTTCCCAGGCTGATTTAATAATTGAAACCATCCAGAGGCATTTCAAAAATGAGGAAGCAGAGGTATTATTCTAGTAATCTTCAATTTCCTGTTTGCGTTTGTATCAAGGTCATGGAGCAAGATTTCTTTTCATAACTGTCTGTTGGAAATTACTGATATAGCCATATATTTGGCATTAAATGATTGAGTGTGCGTCATCTTACTGTAGTCAGCTTTTCAAAATCCACTTTTTCCAAATATGATGCATTTAGAATACCATGTGCATAGAACTGATGATTCTGTCACAAGGTATTCTTCAATCCTTGATTGTTATCTATTCTGCTATTTGTCACATATTTAGGTACTCCCACTTGCTCGTAAGCTTTTTAGCTTCAAAAGACAGAGAGAACTTCTGTACCAGAGTCTCAGTGTAATGCCGTTGAAGTTGATTGAGCGTGTTTTGCCATGGTTTGTGGGAAAGTTAACTGAAGAGGAAGCCAGGAACTTCCTTAAAAATTTGCAGCTAGCAGGTTAAGTATTTATGTGCCAAATCCTCTGTGAGGTGTGACATGTGAGTTTAATGTTTAATTCCTAACTTGTTTATATTATGACGCAGCACCAGCGCCTGATGCTGCTTTGGTAACTTTATATTCTGGTTGGGCATGTAAAGGGCGTCATCATGATGTATGTTTGTCCTCTGATGCTCCTGGCTGCTGTTTGGTCAAAAAATGCTCTAATCCTGATATAGAAGAAAATTATGTCCGGGGATCCTGCCCATGTGCACTTTATATGCAAAATGTAGCTGAAAGGCCAGCAAAGAAAAATCTCCCAGTTTCTGATACTAGCCAAATTATATCCGGATCATCTGTAGATAAAATTTCCTTAAGCACCTCCTTTAATGGACAGTCGTGCTGTGTTCCTGGATTGGGAGTTAATGTTAACAATCTGGGCTTGAGCACAATTTCAACCCCAAAATCTTATCGTGCACAGTCCTGCTCTTCTGCACCTTCTCTTAAATCTAGCCTTTTTATCTGGGAGACAGATAATAGCTCTTGTAATGTTGATCGTAAAGTGCATCCAATTGATACAATATTCAAATTTCATAAAGCAATACTGAAAGATTTGGAATACTTGGATGTTGAATCCGGTAAACTTAGTGATTGTGATGAAACTGTCCTCCGGCAGTTCATTGGAAGGTTCCGACTGTTGTGGGGTTTGTACAGAGCTCATAGCAACGCAGAGGATGAAATAGTGTTCCCGGCACTTGAATCTAAAGAGGCTCTTCACAATGTTAGTCACTCATACACGCTAGACCACAAGCAGGAGGAAGAATTATTTGAAGCCATATCTTCGTCTCTGTCTGATCTGTCAAAACTTCATGATTGCATGAGGGGAGTTGAGAATGTTGAGGGTATGGATTGGACTGGACCCGATAGTTCTGAGTATCGTTATGATTCCAAAAGAAAATACAATGAGCTGGCCACAAAGCTTCAAGGCATGTGCAAGTCAATTAGAGTCAGCCTCCATCAGCATATTTATCGAGAGGAACTTGAGCTCTGGCCACTGTTTAATGAGCACTTTTCAGTGGAAGAGCAGGGCAAAATTGTTGGTCGCATAATTGGGACCACTGGTGCTGAGGTATTGCAATCAATGCTCCCTTGGGTAACATCTGCACTTACCCAAGATGAACAAAATAATTGGATGGACTCATTGAAGCAAACAACTAGAAACACGATGTTTAATGAATGGCTAAATGAATGTTGGCGAAAAACTCCAGAATTATCTGTTCTACCTGAAGAAGTAGAAAATACTGCTACTAAAGGTCTTTCATGCATTTCTTTCCCTGAGTTTTTAATTGCAAAGATGTACTCCTCCTGTCCCAGAAAAATAGTCCACTTTGTTTTACTGTTTCAGCTAAACAAATTGAACTATTTTGTGGGAAAGAGGGAGAAATAAATTTATGTCCTTTCTTTGCACCTGTTTTGTTGAAAATACATAGTCACAGTTTTTAACATTTTGTAGGTGCTGACACTCTGGAGGGTGATCAGATGTTCAAACCGGGTTGGAAAGATATTTTCCGCATGAATCAAACTGAACTTGAATCGGAGATAAGGAAGGTTCATAGAGACTCTACTCTTGATCCTAGGAGAAAAGCTTATCTGATTCAAAATCTTATGACAAGGTTGGTTTTATAACTGAGGCCTAATTCTTGTCCTTGCTGGTTTGGTGTTATCAATCAATGGTTTTATGTCATGGCTTGCTTTATTTGTTGAATGCACATTGCGTTTTGGCCTTTCCGAAAGGCTCTTGCCCTTAATGATTGCTTGATTTTATTTTATTTTTTTGGTTTTAGTCGTTGGATAGCTTCTCAGCAAAAATCTCAAGCATTCAGAGGCGAAAATTCCGCTAGTGAAGAAACATTTGGACTATCACCTTCATTTCGGGATTCAGATAAACAAATTTTTGGATGTGAACACTACAAGAGAAACTGTAAACTTCGGGCTGCTTGTTGTGGAAAGTTGGTTACTTGCAGATTTTGTCATGATGAAGTGAGCGATCACTCCATGGAAAGGTAACTGTATTAGTAAGGGAGCACTTGCATTGCAATTGTGTATAATTCTCTAAACTGTTTTTGTGTTCTCTAGGAAATCAACAGTGGAGATGATGTGTATGCTTTGCCTGAAGATTCAGCCAATTGGGCCAGTTTGCTCCACACCTTCATGCAATGGATTTTCTATGGCAAAATACTATTGCAATATTTGCAAATTTTTTGATGATGAGAGGTAGATGCAACTCATTACATCTTATGTGAAAAGTTGTTCTCCTGCATTCAGTAACACCAGAAAAAAAGAGAAAACAACTTCATTGATGGGAGTAGAAACACCTATATGTTTGTTACAACTACAAACTAATGCCAGGCTGTGCATTTGAACTGAGTGGTGGTGCAAAATATTGATTTCATGTAGTTTGTGGCTTTATGCCACCCATCTAAGTTGATATAAAAATATAGAAGCATGTACTCTTACAGAATACAGCAACAAAATAATCTGCAGTGATTTGCATTTGAACTAAGTTGGGTCTCATCTCTTGTCTTTTGTTGCTAAGTGCGTGATGAATAAAATGAAGTTAAATTGTGATAGTAAATTCTAATACTCTGAAGTTTATACCTATTCTATCAGAATCTTCTTGTACCATTTTATTTTTTCCTGTCATTCTCATATTGTAAACCATGTGGCATGTATCATTGATTAAGTTATGTGATGGTTCACATAGTCATTCTGACTCTGGAGTTATTTGTATATATTTTAGATGACTGCAGTACTCAGGGTTGTAAATTTCTTCTCTTGTAGGGATGTGTATCATTGCCCCTACTGCAATTTATGCCGTCTTGGGAAAGGTCTTGGTGTAGACTTTTATCATTGTATGAAATGCAATTGTTGTTTATCAATGAAACTAGAAGAACATAAGTGCTTGGAGAAGGCTTTGGAGACAAATTGCCCAATCTGCTGTGAGTTTCTGTTTACTTCCAGCGCAACTGTTAGAGGTCTACCATGTGGTCACTACATCCATTCCGCTTGCTTTCAGGTATCTTATGTTTTTTTCTGTGTTCTTGTATACTGTAAGTTCTTTGAATTCATCATATTATTTATGGTTCTTTGAATTCATCATATTATTTATGGTTCTACTGATAATTCTCTGTGATTCATTATGTTATTGGACCTTTTCAGGCATATGCTTGCAGTAATTATGTTTGTCCAATATGCAGTAAATCCATGGGTAACATGGCGGTAAAGTTTCTCATTTTCTTCTCTCACACTTGTATGCACTGTTACTTAAGTTTAATTGACTATAACCAGCCTCAAAATGCAATGTAGTGTATGCTTCAAGAAAAAATAAAATAACGTAGAGGATTGATGCGGTAACATCGCATTGGAATAATATCCAAGTTTTGGTTAACAATTTTATCTGATTATCTTGTTCGTTTTGGCCTCAATAGTTAATTTCAAATTGGTGTTCTTTTTGGCCTTGTAGGAATGTTATTTTTCTGCTCTTAAGAATCCTTTCATTAACCAATAGTGAATCTTCCACTGGATAGAGTTAGAGCCAGGATTTGCTGCTTGCTATTTAGTCGTGGAATTACCAACCTTATTAAGAAATACAAATTGATACAATTTATGTAAGGCGCTTTGTTGAGAATTACTTTATGACTCAGGTTTACTTTGGCATGCTCGATGCTTTACTTGCTAATGAAGTGCTTCCAGAAGAATATCGAAATCGTCATCAGGTATGTCCACTTTTATTGCATTTCGTGCATTCTTCCATTGGTTATCAAAATTTTGTAACAGCTAGTATGATGGTTGTTCAACCATGTTCTAGCATATACAAGTTAAGCTTTTTGGTTATCTCTACTTAGTTTTATGATTGGCCGAAATTTGGATTGCTAGTAGCTGCACAACCCCTCATTGGAGATCCCAAGAAGTCTGCTCAGTCATTCTTCTTTTGATGATGACTGTGGAAAATTACCAATTTGGTGTATTAATCTTCTCTGACGAATTTCTACCAGGATATTCTTTGCAATGACTGTGAACGGAAAGGCACGGCCCGCTTCCATTGGTTGTATCACAAGTGTGGATTTTGTCGATCATACAATACTAGGGTTATCAAGTCTGGACCTGTCACTCCTCCTGAATGCTCTTCTTCCAACTATGAGGGTCCTTGAAAAATGAAGAGAGTTTGAACATGTGTAAATATGGCCCGTAGAGAATTCAAAAAAATTTTGTTTGCCCTTTTGGACTTTGTATAGGTTTTAATCATCGTTGTAGCTCTATTGACAAACATAGTAGTATTTTCATTTTAGCTTGTTCATTGTATAATTGTGCTGCTGCATCGTTTCAAAGAGGAAGTATGCTGTGTAGAGGGTAATTGAGGTAGAGGTTTATATCTTCATATCGAAAGTTATTGGTGTTTTTATTATCACATGAATAGTTTCGAAATTATATCTTCATATTGATTTCACAGCTACTGTATCAACGTTTTACTCAAAAGGACACCCTAACTTTTCGCTCATTCAAAAGAATTATTTATAAGTAGTGATGAAGAGAAAAGAAATACGATAAATGAATTATTTATGCATTGTTTAAGAAAATATTTTTTAATAGGATTTTGTTTGTCTGTCTCTGACGGAATTTCAGACATCATTAAAAAAAATGTTGTTTTTCCTTTTTTTTCCTTTTCTTTTGAGAAAAAAATAGTTTGAATTTGAAGTTCCGTTCAGCATAACTCGCTACATTTTGAAGTTCCGTTCAGCATAACTCACTACATTTCTAAAAAAAAAAAAAAATCCAAATCCACAAATGACCAATTTATTTAAGGGATCCCTTTAATTAAAGCACACGAAAATTTTTTAAAAAGTAAAAAAACCTTCACAAAATTAAGTGGGAAAATACAAATGAAAAAGAAAATGCTTCACAATATTCTTCAATTTGCTGGCCTTTCTCCAAAAAAAAAATAAAAATAAAAATTGCTGGCCTATATCACTATGTCTGAGAGAACTTCTAAAAAGGCCACTCTCTTTCTGCAAGTGGCGGGGTGGCTGAGTTAAACTCCAGAGAGGGTAAAGAATCAATAAGTTTTTATTGCTTCTATTTGGGCGGCCGTTCGTTTGTTCATTTTCCCGCTAAAAACTGGGTTAAGAGGATTGAAGTTTCAAGTTCAACAAAGGACACCAAGACCCCAGGTTTTCTTTTCCCCTTTTCTGAGCTTTCCGTGTCATTTTGTGTTGATTATACGTTAGTTTACAAATCCCAGATGGATGAATTAGCTGAACCCCATGAACAATTGAAAATTTCCCAATTCTCTTTACAAAACTCAGAATCCAATTATGACCTGATTAGCGATTTGCCGGATACCCTTCTCTGTCACATTTTGTCATTTCTCCCAACAAAATATGCCGTGGGCACTTCTATTCTGTCAACCAGGTGGAAGAATCTGTTCCCCTTGATCCCAAATCTTTTGTTGGTTTTCCATGATTCATTGCTTCTTAAACATCCCAATGGAGTAGCTGAATCGGATAGGATGAAGAGCGGGAAACTAGGTTTATAGGTTTTGTTGGTCTGGTTTTGAACCGGTTACTGGAAAATGACGCTAGAATCCGCTCGTTCCACCTCATATGTCGGCTGCCACGGTATAAAGTTTCTGATATTGTTTCTTGTTTGGGAGCTGCTACAAGACTTCGTGTGAAAAATATTTATTTTGATGCCTCAATGGGCTACTCCAGTGGGACTAAGTTAATTAGTAGTCTTAGTGGGTGCTATAACTTAACTTGGTTGAGTTTGGCTAGGGATTTTCGTTTCTTTCTTCTAAAGGACTTTCCAATTGTTAAGTTTCCCAAGTTGGAGACGTTGATTCTTGATGGTGTCACACTTTCTGACAATGTGGAATTGCTCTTTGATGGATGCCCTGTGCTCGAAAACTTGGCCATAACTATTTGCATTATTCAACCTGTAGACACCTTCAGGATCTGTATAATTTTGCTGAAACATTTGGTTTTAGAATGGTGCCTCATTGATGGTGATACCACAATTGTCTTAAACACACCAGAGCTCGATTGTTTGTGCCACTTTGCCTTTTGTGATGTAAGCTACTCGTTCGCGAGCAAATTTGATCAAATCCGTGGCCTCTCAATAATTTTACGTGCCCCAGTTGGTGAAGATCCCAACTTTAATGATCTCATGATAGCTGAAATTGTTAAGGCGTGTTCTGAAGTCGAGAGTTTGAATTTGGGAGACTCAGCAATGGAGGTTAGTACTCTTACTATATTAAGAGTACTTTGGCATTTTACAGTTGCTGCTTTTATGTTGATTAAGTTCAACTTTTCCGAGATGATCATGTTAAGTAATTTTCCTTACTGTTGCTCTTCAAAGGCTTCATTAGTCAAGTCAGAGTGACTTTTGTCCTTAATAATATGATAATATGTAACCATCTTCCAATTTTCTTACAGGTTCTTCATCATTTGTCACTTCCTCTGCCTATTTTTTGTAACTTAAAGAGAGTTCTACTCAATGTAGTGGGCTTGGCTGGATGGAGCTTATTTGGAAGACTCCTTAAAAATGCTCCGAAACTTAATATAGTAACTCTTGATAGGGTAAGTACAACATGATGCATACTAAGTTGGTTTTTGCTTGAACCCTGCGTTGTTTTGGTTTTGTGAAAGATACATTCTTCAACTTTTTCTCACTGTATTTTTGCAATCAGGGTTCCAACATGCTTGATGGTTACTTTGATTGCTTTCGGGAATCAGCCCAAGGCATTCCTCACTGTCTTGCCTCAAGCATGAAAGTGGTAGGGATCTCAGCCTTCAAAGGCCATGAGGATGAAATTAAATTCATCGAGTACATTTTAGAGAATGGAAAAGTTCTGGAGAAGTTGCATCTCAGTTTTTGCTTTAACTGGAAGGAAAACTTTGATGTCTTTAAGAGAATAGTTGACGCTGGACTGAAATCAGAGACTTGCAAGATTATATGGCTTTACAAAGACTTGGATAGTATTTATTACGATAAATAGTAGTGCTATTAGAACTCCCTCCATTGTCTTGCTTGGATTTTTTACTTTTAAGTATTAGAAATGAAAATCCAAATGAAATAATCATTTTGGACGGATGGAGGGAGTAACAAGTGCTTGGTTACAAGATGGAATCTTGCGTAGCTTATGAGGTACTTTTTTTGTCTTTGGAAGTTGAATGATCTTTAATTGCCTGACACCCTATCTTAATGAGGTACTTGATTGTTGATTTCACAGCTGCTATATCAACAATTATTTTTCTTACCAACACTTGGTTGTAGTATTTTGCCAGATGCTATATCAACATTTAGTTGTTTAATGGCTTCTTGTTCTTGTATTCTTCTTGATTGGAGAATCTTGTGACTCATGAAATTGTTAGTAACAGTCCAAACTGGTTATTACTATGAAGTGCTGGTTGATTCAAAGTTAATTGTTTATAAAATTGACAAGTTTTGCTTTAAGAAAGAAAGTGAAACAAAACTACTGGAAGTACTAAATAAAATATTACTCTTTTCCTCTCGAAATAAAGACTTTGTTATAAAACTTAACCATCATGACAAAAGTAACTCTTATGTTTAAAACGTAACCATCATGACAAAGTAACTCTTATTTTTTACTAAACAGATAAAGTATTACGAATTATTGAACTTGAATATGACATAAAACATGGGGATACCAATTAATAATTTTAATTTTGTTCTTTTTTCACATTTGCAGGTTGTTGACCGCTAACAACGGTAATTAATTTATCTCGTTGAATTGTTAGGGCCTCAGGAACATTTTTTTTTCGACTAAACTGTATAAATGGTCCCTTATATTTGTCCGAATTTAAATTTTAGTCCCATACATTAACATGTATATGGATTGAGCATTTACATTTCATTTTGAAACTTTTTTTTGTCTCTTTTCACTGTTCTGTCATCATTTCCGTCTTGATGACCGTTGAACCTACCAAGTCAGGGGTATTTTCGGAATAACACATATAAGATCAAAAGACTAAACTGTATAAATGGTCCCCTACATTTGTCTGAATTTAAATTTTGGTCCCCTACATCAATATGTATATGGATTGAGTCTTTACATTTCATTTTCAAACTCACATATAAGATCAAAATAACAAATGTTTTTATAATAAAATAGAATAAAATATTAAAAATTATTATTTTATAATAAAAAATTAAATAATTTAAAAATAAAAATAGAAAATTAAAATGATTTCAAATTTCAAATTTCAAAAAAAAAAAAAAATCACTTCCCACCTTTGTGGGTCCCACATGCTAGTCAATTTCTTCCCCTTTTTTTTGCTACAGTAAAAAAAAATCAAAATTAAAAAGTAAACTTACCTTCACCCGTAAGTTTGCTTTATTATGAGAATAAAATTTTTACCTTTACCGTCTTTTACCTTTATCCTTAAAAATTTTATTCTCATAATCCGAAATGCCATTTATTGATTTTATTCTTACCAAGTCACTGCTGGTAAAGGTAAAAGACGGGTGAAGGTAAGTTTACTTTTTAATTTTGATTTTTTTTACTGTAGCAAAAAGAAGGGGGGAAATTGACTAGCATGTGGGACCCACAAAGGTGGGAAGTGAAATTTTTTTTTGAAATTTGAAATTTGAAATCATTTTAATTTTTTATTTTTATTTTTAAATTATTTAATTTTTTATTATAAAATATAATTTTTAATATTTTATTCTATTTTATCATAAAAACATTTGTTATTTTGATCTTATATGTAAGTTTCAAAATGAAATGTAAAGGCTCAATCCATATACATGTTGATGTAGGGGACCAAAATTTAAATTCGGACAAATGTAGGGGACCATTTATACAGTTTAGTCTTTTTGATCTTATATGTGTCATTCCGAAAATACCCCTGACTTGGTAGGGTCAACGGTCATCAAAACGGAAATGGTGACGGGAACAGTGAAAAGAGACCAAAAAAGTTTCAAAATGAAATGTAAAGCCTCAATCCATATACATGTTGATGTAGGAGACCAAAATTTAAATTCGAACAAATGTAGGGGACCATTTATAGAGTTTAGTCCTTTTTTTCCCCATAAAATTAAGTTTTTGTGCCTTACTTAAACACATGAAGGAAGTGTAGGGTTATTTTGCCAAAAATTCAAAATATTGGATGACACTATAAATATTTTAAATCATATCCTATGGTGTAGAAATCTGAGCTGCTAGAGAAATATGGAAAGCATTTCATCCCATTATCAACGGAAGCAGTGCCGAAAGTGATGAGGGATGCACAAGGATCACATGATTTGATGTCAAAAGTCACTAAGAAGACTGGAACTTGTTTCTCCTACAAAGATGGGGCCAAAGAGAGCATTTTTGTTTGATTGATGAAGTGGGCATAAGAGCTATTTTGGGCGCTGCTATGATCGTCATAAGGCTTTTTCCTTGTTCAATTGCTAAAAGGTAATTCATATCCTTTCTTTGCTAATGGCTTTTATGTTTTATCCCTTTGGTAGTTCCTTTAGCAAGATGATATTTTGTGATGGGCTCACATAATCTTTGATTTTATATTCTACTGCTCTTTAGATTTTATAAAGTTTTGACCTTTAAGATTGAAATCTCTCTTCATACTGTGATGTATGAATGTTTAGTAGGAAAAGAGTAGGTCAAGGGAGGGTTCTTGATGTTTTGCTAGATTGTTTAATTAAAATTGATTTTTCTCCTTAGATGTTGAATCTCTTTGTACTTCAATGTGAATCCCCAGAACCAACATTAATTCCTCTATGGGTCGACCTATAGAGGTCGAAGCCTCACGTTCTATGTTGTAACAGGAAAAAGATTCAGTTTCTTTTTTTTTTTTTTTTTTTTTTTTTTTTTTTGTCTTCTCACTATGCTTGCTGGTGAAAGCAACCCTCAAGGTGATCACTTTTCTGTGTTCATACTACACTAGAATCTGGGGTTGACAATTTGATATTGTGATAGAAAATTTTGGTGAGGGTTGTGCCCGCTACTTTTATAGAGTAGAATTTTGATCTTTATCACTCCATTTTTTGTCTTAGTTCTTAAGCGGAAAGTTACCAAGTCCTACAAATAACATGTTAAAACTGTTTTTCACTTTGAATATTGTACACTCGTCGTCACCTACTGCTATAATTTAACTAGTGAAATGTCCCCTTTTTCCCTCACTATTTAGCCTACTAAGACCACTCTTCAAATTGGTCACTTCTCTTTGTTGTTCGTCGCATTAGGATTTAGAATTAGTTAACTACTCCCTCTGTCCCGAAATGATCATCCAGTTTGGATTTTCATTTTTAGTTCAAATTTTACTAAAAGTAAAATCCAAACTGGAATCATTTTGGGACAGAGAGAGTATTTACTTATGATAGGACATTACAATGAATCTTGTGTTCACTAATTTAAAAAGTAGAATGTTAAGATTAGGGATGCATTTATGGCTCAACCCGTGATGGCTACTTAGTGCCATAGAGGACATGCTCAAATTGCTTTTTGTACCGACCATTATATTACTGTGTTGTAACAGGTGAAAGTCGAGTTGGCTCCTCCGTTGGCTACTGAAAGCACACCCCAAGTGAATCATGACTGATTTTATGTTCACGATTTTGATAGAGTAGAAACTAGAGCACTATGAATGAAATTTTGAGCCTACTCTTGGAGGCTAGGCAGTTAGTGCCTTAGTATAACACCTTATGGTTATGATTTGATCCTAAGAGCCATTAACTTAGTGGTAAATCATTTGAGGTGAAAGTTCAGTATTTTGTTTAACTTCCCACTCCCTTGCCTACTGAGAGTGGGCTTCAATTATGATGAGGAAATCACGACTAGTCTTTGTTCACCAATTTTGTGAAGTAGACAGTTGGCGTCATGAATGCATTGAATTTCTTAGAGTTACCATAAGAAAGTTTTCTTTGCCCAAAATGGAGTCTAAGATTCAATGTCATCAGCATATATCCTAGGAGAAAAAGTTCTAAAGACCTAAGAAGGCATTTATCTATGTCGCATACTTATCCCTTGAAAACGTAGAAAATTGAGTGTCCATTTAGAGCTTTTGGTCTGTATTCTAGAAGTAAGGATCGCTACCAATTGTTGCTGGATTAAATGTATCTACGCTTGTGGGTATGAATCTTATGGTACATAAATGTTCATCTTGTGTAGTCTTATAGTTTTGAAGTGCATAGCTGTGTGATAGTCATTAATCTATCAAATAGTGTGAAGTAGTGAGCAATGATCTTTCCAGAAAATTTGACTAATGTGAAATGATTCTTCAATATATTTGAATAAAAATATCTTTCGAAATTTGACGTATTAAATTGTCATTAATAAGTTCCGTAAGTGAACGGATATGGTGTCCCCCACCAACAAAAAAAGAAAAGAAAAGAAAAGAAATAGATATGGAATTAAAGGGTATGATGTCATTTGAAAGTGAAACTGAAGGTGAGTTCTTCTCTCCTTCTCGTGGTGAGTGACCCATAAGTGTAGTCGTTCACTTGTACTTTTAACCACAACCCCCTAATCCCCTAAACCAAATGTACTAACAAATTCATTCTTGTTTTCATCGGTCATCTATCCTGATGCTATTGTGCATTATCTTTAAGACCCTCTTTTCCGCTCCTTTAGAGTAACGCTTAGTGAGAACGACAAATGTGCCAACTACTCATAAATAAAGTCCAATAGTTACCGCTATGAATCCAAGAGAAAGTCTCTCGTATTAATCACAACCGTTCAAAAAGTTGTAATCAGATTTACTTGTATCGTCATTTGTGCCTCTTTCAATATGCCTCTCTTTATATACCAGTGGTAGAGCCTCACCTCAGAACACAAGCCATTTAGATATAGAGAGTCCCATAGACAGAGGTTGAGTGTTGTGAATTGTTAGTGTGTCTAAATATGGCTGATACTCCTGAGAGAGAGAATGAGAGAACTGGCTCATCTTCAAGGCCTCTTCATAACTTTACTCTTCCATCTCTGAGTTGGGGCAATCAGAGACAATTGCGCTATGTGAGAGCCCAGTCTTCCACCCCCCGCAATGTCCCCATTCTCTCTGCTAATGTTCTTAGCCAGCAATCTAGATCACCCATCACTGTTTCTTGTCGATCCCCAGCCAGGCCTGTGACCACTAACCCAGTTAGTCCTCCCAGAGCTGATAAAGGGAAATCTGCAATCACCTCCACCACCTCTAACCAGTGCACAGAGGAAGTTAAAACTGTTAGTGGAAAGCCATATAAGGATCTCGTTGTTTGCATTGACGGCCAGAAAATCCATTTTGTTGATGAGAAAGGGAAGGACAAAGTAGAGGAGCCGAAACCTGTAGAAGTTCGTTGGAATCTGCGCAATCGCGGGGGGATGGGTAAGACAACAAATGAGAGTGATAAAACTGTTTGGCCTGTGTGGATGAATGACAGA